AGCACGCGGTGGTAAGGTTCGCGGCGCAGAATGCGAGGGCGCGTTCCTCGTAAAGCCGCATTCAAATCCTCCATCGACCCATGGTCGGCCACGACGCACGCAAGCAGGCCCGCTGTGGCTGGCGTAGCGTTCAACCTTGCCAAAAAAGGCGTCGACTGCACCACAATATCATTGTGATGTCTTGTGGTAAACATGCTGGGAAAATCATTCTGAAGTGCCCATCAGATGGATTTTCCTTCAAACCAGCGTCATACAGCTGGTCAAACTGGTCTCCAGCGATTGGAGGTAGCTTTCGTGCTTGCGGCAGATCACGAAAATTGCCTGGATCTCTGGTATTGGTTATCGATTTGGATCCTTAGTAAGGTCTTACACGAATCAGGCAGGATTTGAAGCCCGATTGGACTTGATTTGGGTTTTTGGACTCAAATTGTTACTTTTAGTAAAGGCTCTGGTATTTAATTGGATAAAATGACCACTTTTTAGCCGAATGACCTTAAATCAGCCAGATATTCGAAAATTTACCAAATAACATTTTCAAATTGAACTCAAATGGAAGATTTTGACAAGTTGAAGAAATCAGTTGGAACAGCAGGGTTGAATTTGTCTTCGCCCGCATCCTTATATCATGATTCCACAAAGTTAGAGTGTCACATGGTTTCCATGATTGGCGAAATGACTGTGCAGTCTGTGAAAAATACTGGGGCAATACTCGCATCATGCTTGACAAACGTACGTTACGCTTTCGCTCAGTATTGGGTCAGTCTGGGATAAGGTGAGCAAGAGCATCACCCAATCACACCAACCATGGAAGTACAGTCTAATTGCACTGCTATAACAGTGATGTATTTTCAAGGATATTTACAATGGCACAAAATACAGACTGACACAAGGAGAATGTGGTGATTGGAGGTACAAAGACGGGTGAGCCAAGGACAACTACAAAAAAACGAACTGAGAGAGAAGACTGCATGGCACATACAAGTTCAACGACAAGAGTGGGAGATGGGAGTCGGGAGAACCCCTCATCGAATTGGTCTGGAAAAAAAAGAAAATGAAGACCGAGCGAGGCAAGCTGGAAAAGTCACAGATATAGTAAAAGTAAGAATGCCAACTTGCACGGTACCTCTGTGAAACGGGGCTTACGGGGCTTGGGCGGCCATACTGTCATTAGCAGTGCCTTCGCTATCACCGTCGCTGTCACCCTCGCCAACACTCTCGCTCTTGGAGCTGTCACTTTTGCCAGCAGCGTTCCTGCTTCCATCAGGGCCATCAGGAGCCGCTGCCCCTGGAAGAAACTGACTCTCGTAGCGTTGGAGGAGATCGGCCTGCTCGTCACTATCCATGGAATCATAGTCTGTAAGCAGAAAGTTGACCACATGCCAAAAGTCGCAGTTGGCAAACATATTGTGGAACACTTGGCATCGGTAGGCGTAGATCTGTGAAGTCAAACTTTAGCAACTAACAGGCAGGGCAGAATCATCACTTACACAAAGTACGGCGAAGGCACGGTGCCCTGTGTCGAGTTCTTCAGCTGAAACTGGTGGAGCGAACATGAATGCAGTATCGCTCATGTGATCAAACATCTGCCGATGTAAGTCTTCCACTGACGGCTCAGCCTTGGTGGCCTCCAATCTGATCTAGCAACTATTAATTCAAATCACCAGTAAAGTAGTTACCATCCTCTTCCACTCGCTTTTGAACGTGCTTAGAATTTCCAACGTGCTTGCTCAGAGAAGAGAGCGTATAGGGCCGCCTTCGAGTGACGAGTATCGACATCATGCAGTGTTACCGCCCCCACCCGTCCCAACGAATTGCGTGGACGAGGTGCGTTTGGGCGAGCCTGCGGCCTACGTGGTGTTGTAACGTTATGATGACAGAGTTGAAGCGAAATTCATGCTTACCACACTGGCGATGCTCCTGCTGAAGCAGAATGTCCTGTGGAAGATTCTGTTTGAGGTTCGCTTTCGTTTCGACGATAAGGATGAAGGCGAGTCAGCCACGGGTGCGCTGATTGATTGGCTGGGGTAGGCTTTAAAGGAAAGTCAGTTGAATGATGGGTGCTTTTCCACGTACCTTTCCTGTAGCAGGAGGAAACTGCGCAGTGGGCCGACTTGTGTTCATGTTGCGTGATGCAAACGGTATCTGCGTGGGAGGCTGTGTTGTGCTCATGTTCTGTGAAGGGGCCAGGGAGGGTTGGTGGGATGGTTCCATTTCAAAGTTTTTGTCCGCTCGATTCATGAAACGAGCTCCCTTATATATCGGGAGGCTCTCTTGCTCCTCCCTCTCCTTGTTCATCCCTTTCTGAGGGGTGCAAGGTGATTGGATCGAAATCATTGACATCCTGAACCACTTTGAAACCATCATTCGGAACCTTCATTATTGAGGCCACTGCTAAATTTGAACAGTCGGTGGGACACTTCCTTTGCAAGCTAGCCGAAGCATGGCAAGAGAGGAAGAAACTTCACAATGAACAGGGAAATACGGGACAGTGAGGTGGAGAAAAAATCGTTGCATAGGTAGCTGAACGGTCTCAGCAAAATGCACAGAGACATGAGCGGACCAGAAACAACTCCCTTGAAACGTGAATTACAAATCTCATTTCTGTGAGTTTCTCTGAAGCCAGCCTCGCACTTCTGACGCTTTCCACACCCTTTTCCCCACCCTGCTCCCCACCCTGCTCCCCACCCTGTTGAGCTCCTCCAATGCAGAGCTGATTAATACTGCTTGTCCTGACAATGTTTTCAACTGAAATGCTTCAACCCATGCCATCAATATTGCCTTTTCAGCTGGCTTGGTGGTTCTCCTCTGTTGTTTCCATTTCCCCTGGCTTGGTAGTTGATCTTTGAGTGTCTCCATTACCTGCATTTCATTGTTTTCTTGATCGCTCCGAGAAAGGCTCGTGGCTTTCTGTGCAGCTGGATCTCCTCTTTGGGGAAGTCCTCGTTGCTTCTGCGGTTTCTGCGAGAGCACAGCAGATGTCACTAACTCCATAGAAATTGCCGTGAAAGAGGGGCTCGAAACCAAATCAAGCGACTTCAAAAGGTCGTATGTGGAAGAAGAGAAAACGTTGAGCAACCTTTTAGGACTTGAAATGGTGTCATGAACGAAAGTGTCAAAGCTACGCTGCATTTCGAAAGCGAGGTCGTTTTGTTCCACATGACACCTGTTTGAGCAGTAGTGCGGTGCATTAACACAGTACATAGGTTCTTCAACATTGTACAGCCACTGGCACGACTTTTTTGTTCTCTCCAATATGGGGCACTCCATTATTCGTTCACTTTGCATGACATACGTGGTAACCACCAGTGTGCCACCCAACCAAAGGAATGAGTCTTTCTCTACTTCGCCAAACTCAACTGTTTTGTCAAGTAGGACTCGCATAGCCATGGCTTTCTCATGAAACCTCTGCCGTGGGTGGGCCAATTGCTCTGATGCTCCTGCTGCGTTGACTTGAGTATCAGCATAAGCACCACAATTAATGAAGTATACCTTCATGAACTAATGGGATTGAAAAAAGAAGTGGAGTGCAAACCCAACCATGTTTCAATTGGCAATAACCACCTGTGCTTAAATGGCGTCTGGCAGCCTCAACAGCATAGTTGATAGCAACGTCTCTGGAAGTGTTGTGTCTGTTTGTTGCAAGAATGTGGTAACAGGTATACTTGTTCTTTGCCTCTGGCCCATGGACAGCAGAACATCGCAGTGGTCCAAATCGTCGAACACAAAATGCTGCATGGCGAAGGATATGGAGTTTGGGTTTGATGAGATCCCAACGATAGTCGCAGACTAGAATTGCGTTTGTCAATTGGTTTTGACGTGCTTCAAGCTCATCACAATAGGCATCCAGATTTCCAATTCCTTCAATATGCAACAATGCGTTGAAGGCTGAAAGGTTGATCCACATATTCAAAATATCATCTGAAACAATTCCTTGCAAGACAAATGCAGCAATTTGGCAAAATGCACGCAAGTCTTTTCCGTTTAAGGAATTGGTGTAATGAACCTTACAGTACGTCCCCAACCTTCCTGTCCCCGCGAGGGTGTTGGTGGCTGCGCCCGGTGCGGCCCCCGACACCTGAGAGTTCGATCTACAAGCGCCTGCCTCGGTCCTATTGCTGTGAGGGTGAGATGTGTGTGAGTACGAGTGTGATGCGATAAAGCCTGTTGGTCGAGTGATCGTGCCGACGCAGCCCGGCGGGGTGCGTGTACGATCGCAGGTGTTTCTGCATGCGAGTTACCTGCTGGCGACCTTCCGACCCCTACATAGTCGACTCCCTTCTCTCTCTCCCCCCTGTCGCTGGCGACAACGAGGGCTCCCGCAGCACCGTCCGCGACGAGGGGCGCTAGGTCGCGCCCTGTCCGTCCCGTCGCTATTAACCGCTCCTGTTGTATTTGAGATTAGGTTCCTGCGATAAAAACCCCCGTTTCCCTCTTCTCTCTCTTTATTCTGCGGTTGTGTTGCGCCCTCGGGAGTGCCCTTCCGTTTCCCCTCGCATCGGCCCGCGGCCACGCGAGTAATCGGTGCTCTGGCACCGATCCTTCAGAGGATTGTCCCTCTGAATGTTCATTCTTTGTGTTTGAGACCCCTGTTAGACAGATCAGTAGGGATACTTCGTGGACTAGGCAAGTAGTAGGGTTGAAACACCCCCTAGACAACAGCCCAATAAAGTTAGTTTTAGCCTATTATTTGCTTTCCCTCACTCTAGGGCCCAGATCCCAGGGTCAAAGGAGTGAGTATAGTCTCACACCATCCCCCGGTTGTTCAGTCATGCGGGACAGGTTGCGGAACGGAGCATTCGAGGAATCTTTTCTCGAACATTACAATGCCAAAGTCTGACCTGATTAGATTCGTGGTAGATCCTGAACCTTAGTCATTTCCCCCACCCTCCAATAAACAGAGAGCGACCACCAAGGACAGGGACTGGCACGATATTGAGGATCCAAACAGCAATAGAGGGAAACAGCCCAACCGATGCTGCCCTGGTTTTAGTGCTATCTAAAGACAACAGCAGGACCCGAACCTGTGCACCCAAAGAGTAACAGATTTTGGGTCTGTCGACTTAACCGCTTGGCCACATTGTCCACAGGACCTCATAGCCATGATAAATTTATTTGCCTTATTGGTATGCAGCTATTGGCAGAAAACCCTCACCTGGAGTGAACTGTTGCAACAGCCAAACAGAAGCCAATCATCCTAAGACAGCCAAGTGTAGAACCGCAACCCTGGTCTTTGTGGGAGACTAAGGCACCCTGTTGCATCACGCTGATGAGGCCAAAACTCCATGGAGTACGTAAGCAAATAGTGGTCATGGCTCTGGATCAATTCCTATCAACTTGTCAGTGTAAAGCACAATGATGTGGTGTCTGGCCTGTGGATTGAAACCTTGGGAACCTTACCAAGCACTTGCACATCGCTAAAATAACAACAGGAGAGTACAAATGGATTAGTCGATCTTGAATACAGTACTATCAATGTGCGAATACTCCAACAATGGAGGCAGTGATTTTCCAACCCACAGCATCTCGCATGCAAAGCAAGATATCTACCACTTGATATATACCCCCCCAACTGTAAGGTGACCTTCAACAGCTCCCAGATAATCAAGTACCAAAAATCAAGAAACCCCTCTTAGAGTCCATCAGGGTACTGGGTTAGGGTTGCTAACGAGTCAGTTCCGCCTAACAGAAACAGATACAGATATCCATTCTATGCGCATCTTATTAATTTACTCAGAAATTTTTCTACTATGCAGACTAAATATTCAGACTAATTGTCAAGTTTCCTGCTCTAATTCCATTGTACAGTTTGGGAAAAAAAGTGCAAAAAGTTCCAGCGTCCTCAACAGAACCCAATATACAAAACTTTCCCAGTTCTCAATCTTTTGGTGCCACACTTTGAGCAAAATTAGGACTTTGGTGGAGTGATATGTTATTCCATCTTGTCTCGCTTGCCAGGAGCTGGGTGCGTCCTATTCGTAACCATTACGCAGATAAAGAGGCCAAGTGCCAGAACTGCACCTCTAAATGCCTTGAAAATGTTCTGCACACAAATTGCTATGGAAACTGCCTTTTCAATGAAAGTGCAAGGAGTGTATTTACCCTTTGCCTGTCACACTCGCCTAATTGACTATTATAGCGTGCATATCATCATTATGTTTCAATAATTCATAACAGAGCTTTTCTCTTTCTCTCCAAGTTGGGGAGAAGGACCACTCACAAACACACATCTCCACTTCATTCACTCCTTCCACTACCTCACTCAGAGTGGACTGTTTTCACTTCGAACAGTTTTTCTTCCTTCTTCCTGCTTTCTTTTTTCTTTCTTTCCTAATTCCCCGCCTCCCTATAAACAGCTGCCCTGGGGGGAGCACCCTCATTAATCTCACCTAACTTTACAAACCCACCCTTCAATAAATGCCATCTCTAAGAAATTCAATTGTGTTCTTCTGAAATCCCCTTCCGTTCTACCCAATGAGCCTCCTCTGAACCTCCTATAACACAAGTTGAGCTGCCTGTCATTGGGTTGGACTCTTTGCACTTGTGCGGAGCTGGTACGCCAGTCCTGCTTGTGGTTAGACCTTATGTCGCCCAGGAGAGTAACCATCTACCTCTGGCTCTGTTTGCATGGATGACGATAATGATGAATAAATACCAGCCACAATTTAGACCATTGATGAAGATAATAAATAGATTTACGTAATGCCACCCGTTCGTAAGACAGAAGGATGTAGATGTAAACAGTCTACTCTGAGTGAGTGAGTGGAAGGAGTGGATGAAGTGGAGATGTGTGTTTGTGGGTGGTCCTTCTCCCCAACTTGGAGAGAAAGAGAAAAAAAACTCTGTTATGAATTATTGATACATGATGATGATATACACGCTGTAATAGTTGCTAGGCAAGCGTGACTGGCACAGGGTAAAAACCTCTCCTATATTATCTGCTTGAGCAGAGGAGGAGGAAAACTGTTGACACTGGGTTTCTGTTCCACTCAATACTCGGAGTATTTTGTCATCAGCGCAAGCCAGCGCCCAGGTCTGCATTGGCGGTGGCTCGCTCTCCCATGGGCATTGTGACAACGATAACTGACAGTCACAATAGGTTTGGATCCGTCTTGTGCCTCTTGCTGCTAACCAGTCAGTTCCGCCTAACAGTAGACGTAGAACCTGACCTGAGGGATGGATGGATCAGTGGATCAGTGGAGCATAGAGGAGATGCCACATTCCTCCTACTTATGTGAGCGCCGCCGCACCGTTAGGTATTAGTCACAATGTGGGAGTCCTAATATTGAGTTCAGCTGTGGTTGCTCCATCACTAGACAGTACTAAAAGAGTGCTGAGCAAGAATGAGGGAAACAGGGGAAATTCTGCTGAACAGAAGCTGTGTCAAGGAGGCCAAGGAGAAACATGGAAAGATCACAGCACTCACGTTGAGGATGCTTTTTTTGTTGGTAAGATTCATAGCTGTCTTAGCTCATCTGGGAGAGCGTAAGACTGAAGAAGCCACCTGCTGTTCTGTGCGGTGGCCCCCCTGCTATCTTAAGGCACCCGGTTCAATCCCGGGAGACGGCACATTATAAATCGCTGTGCAAGTTTTGTCAACTGCATCAGGACTTGCATATTGGGCCACCATGTCCCTTTATTGCTCATTTCCAGACTCTGACCAAAACTGATGCTGTCAAGACTGGCAATGACCCTTGTTGTTTCTCTTGTCAAGCAGGCAAGGTGCATGGTCCCTGTTGCATTGCAGAGTTGGCACTTTTTCTCTCCTTTCAATGATTTTCTGCGCAAGTTTGCCCACTTTGCAGGGGAGACATCCTCAAATGCTCAGCAGCATATGCCACCATATTATGAAATAGGCACTTGAAAAAGTTAAAACTCAAAACTGCTTTTCTTTTAGTCAGCGTTGGCAAAAAAGGTATCTGAAATCTGGCCTGCTGCAGGTGGTAGGACTTGAATTTACTTGTGGCTTCTAATCGGTACAGCCTGGTTAGCTCAATCGGTAGAGCGTGTGACTCTTAGCTAACCCGAGATAGGGGTCTCTGCAATCACAAGGCTGTGGGTTCGACCCCCACATCGGGCGCTCCCTTGTGCATCTTTGGACCCATCAGCACTCTCTGCTATGCTTCCTTTCTGGCCAGAATATTGAAAACATTGTCCTTTTCACCCAAGTTCAACCACACCACAGAAAAGCTGTGTTCCTGATTGAAGAGGGTGCTGAGGCGGCGTGGTTGCTCACCGGCCCCTCCCTCCACTTAAGAATGTGCCTTGTCACACTTAAGGTTTCAAATTAATACATACCCTGATATTTTCTAATTAATTGTTTAACAAGCTTTGCATCTAGAAAGTGGCTGGTTCTCTTTTTGAAAATCTTTATTAAATTTTTTTGGACAAGGAGCTTTAAATTTAATTACTATATTCAAAAGTGATTTATCAATGATATGTATGGGTTTGAAACCTTAGTCACACTTACAAAAATTCTGTGCGGTTCTATCTACGACAAAATTTTGCACACTTTGGCTGGCATATGGGTGGTGTCAGTCAGTTTCGTGCAAAAATGCATAATACTGCAATTGGTAGGAATGTTGAATATTGCTGTTTCCATTGAAAAGTCATTGTTGCAATGAAAGAAAAACATTGCTACAAACCAGAGTCAGACCGCCCAACAGGGTGGTAAAATGGGGGCTGCATTTATCTGTTTCAAGATACCTTGAAAAGTTGGTGAAAAGTTTGGAGGCTGCATGCAACTGACCAGAAAGAGGAAAAAAGGAAAAAAAAAGGAAGACACTTTTTTTGTTTCTGTACAAATTTATGGTAAAACGGGAAAGGCAATGAATCGTTCCCAATGAAAACGAAAAAGCATTTGGGGAAAGGGTCTGGACCAACTATGCAAATTTCCCCCTACCCCCCCTCCCAACCTGTTGGATCACTTCATTGCGAGAGGACATTACCTAGTGCAACAGCAATTCCATGTTGATTTGGTGCTGCTCTATGGGGAAAACCTTGCCACAGGATGAATTCAAAATGTCCAAAAATTAGTGGAAAGAATAAGACAAGCCCAGGAACAACTGCCACTTAGCTGCTTGCTTTGGGAAAGCAGACACCCTTTGACCAACGGTGACAAGATTCCACACCCATTGAACAAGAGATTTAAACATCTGCCTTTGTAGTCTGGACCACTGCAGAAATCTCCCAGGCGGGGAATCGAACCCCGATCGCCACCGTGAGAGGGTGGAATCTTAACCATTAGACGACCTAGGATCTATGCAAAGCTCTTTCGTTTTAATCTTTGACCCTCCAAAATGACAAACTCCCTGACTTTTTGATGATGTGGGTGTGGCAGGAATGTGTGGCAGAAAAAAGAGGTTACTAGTTTTTCTCTTTCTCTCCAAGTTGGGGAGATTATCCATAACAGAGTTTTCTCTTTTTCTCTCCAAGTTGGGGAGAAGGACCACCAACAAGCACACATCTCCACTTCATTCACTCCTTCCACTTGCCACTCAGAGTAGACTGTTTACACATGTGATAAAGCCTGTTGGTCAAGTCAAGTGGATGTGGCTGTGGGCAGTTGGGTGTGGTGCATTCTCGATTGCTTGTGTTTCCATGCACAAGTTCCCAGCTGGTGGCCTTCCAATCCCAAATGATGGTCTGCTCACTTCTCTCTTTCCCCCCCTTGTCACTGGCAACAACAACTAGTGAGTGCAGCAGTCTATCAAGATTCTCCACCTGAGTGGATTCACACCATCCAAGTCCACAGGGTGGAATTAGATGCACAGGGGGCTTCCGCGACTTGAACCCGGGACCTCCTCCACCCTAAGAAGGAATCATACCCCTAGACCAAAGCCCCATGCTTTTTTCAGAAGTGCCTCGACCTCTCTGCTGCAACCTAGAAACTGGGTACTTGACCGTCAATTGAGGCTGACACCATACCCACAGGCCATGAAAAGTCTCACAATCTGCCCATTGCAGACAGAGTGACACGAGCGTGCCAGGGGTCAAACCTGGAATCTCTTGATTTGTAGTCAAGCGTGGTAACCATTTTGCCACACACCCACATTAGCGCCTTTGGCTTGTATGCTTCCATCGCT